GCTATATTTAATTGGTTTAATTCTTAACAATTGTTTTGATTTATTATTAATCTGCCTTTTTTTTAATTAGCCTGGTTATTTAATTTAATAAAAATAACGAAATATATTTGATATAATTGTAATGCACCGGGATATCAAATTGAATGGAATCGTTGACATGGTAATCGAAATCGAATTGAATCATGAAACCAGTGACGATTCACACCCCTAAATGTTTTGTTTATAATGAGGAGGAGGTTTTAAGCTATGAAACTTGCAGGATGTTTTAATGGTACAAAGACCTCTTAAATGCCAAAAGATCAAGGCAAATTTGATTTCTCGTGTCATGACCCCTTTAACTCACTTTTATTGGAATATCTGAACCTTATATGTGACCCTGGACCACAATATATTTACGGTAGGAAACGTACAAAATATCTTCATGGAACATGATCTTTACTTAATATCCTAATGATTTTTGGCATAAAAGAAAAACGTATAATTTTGACCCATACAATGTATTGTTGGCTATTGCTACAAATATACCTCAGCGACTTAACACTGCTTTTGTGCTGCAGGGCCACATATAATGTACACAAAATGTACAGAATCTGACCCTACACAGGGTCACGTCTGGTGTATGATTAGCAAAATCTGCACAAGAAAATCAATGCTGTTTCGGTTAATGACTGCCAAACTGTCCCTCAAACACACCAGAATGATCCCTAAAACCAACACACATGAAGATCAGATGCATGAATAACAAAAGCACGTGTAAACAAACTCAGAGTGAGAAATTTATTTTAAAACTCATTACAGACATTAATCGCGAGCAGTCGGCTCAACTGGAGATCCAAGGGTTTTCATAACCATCTCAAGCCATTTCAAGAAGTTGGCCACTGTGGTGTAAATCTCAGGATACAGGAATAAATCATATAAATAGTCAAGTGGTCAAGTGCAGAGACCACAAGTGTGTGTATCTGGCCAGGGCATACGAGCTGCTTTACAGCTGAAATTGTTTTTTTATAATTGCTGAATTTGCAACTCTGTTATTTTCTGTGATGCTGCTTTGAAACACTCTGTATTGTATAAAGCGCTATAGAAGTAAACGTAGTGTTGGGGGTAATGCATTATGAGTGACGTGAGTTATGTAATCAGATGACTTTTTTTCAAGGAACTAGTAAAGAAACACATTCCTTTTCAATTTACAAGAAAATATCTGAGTTACTTTTCCAAATAAGTAACGGCAGTTAGTTTGTTCTTCCATGTATTGACTGACAGCTCTCCTGTCCGCAAAAAAACAGATTCGGTATTCCTTAAAATGAATAAAAACAGTAAAATGCTAATTCATGCAAAACCATGCAAAAAACAAATATCAGTAACACTTTATTTTAAGGTGTACTTGTTACACATTACATGTACTTAATATTATAATAACAATAAATTATGCATAATTACATAATTAAGTAACCCTAAGCCTAACCCTAACCATATAGTATAAGTACATGTAGTTAATTAATCTTACTCAGTACTTAAAATGTATAATTACTCTGTAACAAGTACACCTTAAAATAAAGTGTAACCCAAATATCTTTTATGTATTTAATCCCATTTTATTAATCAATTCAACCATACTAATAACAAAAATTGACTTTAACATTTAACACATAACATTTAGTGTTTCTTTGTTTTTTATTGCTGAAGAGTGTTGAACTTTCTTCTCCTGCATCCTGTTCTTGATGCAATCCAGAATGAGGCTAATTCCTTTTACTTTTGGTGTAAAAAGGCTTTTACGTTCGCCAAAAATAGAACTTTTGTATATTAAAAACAAAGCCCAGCCCAGATTTAAAAAGTAAAGCAATGCATACTTCCCATAAAAAGTAACTAAGTAATGTAATTAGTTACTTAAGGGAGTAATGCAATATTGTAATGCATTACTTGTAAAAGTAACTTTCCCCAACACTGAATAAATGTGACTTAACTTTACAACCCACAATGACAGAATCACTTCAGATACCTGTGATAACCTTCAAACGCCTTCTGATGAACGCAGTGTTTTTTTTTTAATGCAATATCCCAAAATGCGCATAAAAATAGGTGGATGGAAACATAGCACACAGAGTAAAATCCAACATGATCAAAAATAAATAGAAGATTCGCTGTACATTAACGCTTCATTGTGTTGCAGCAGTAGAATTGGCCGTCTGTTCATGGATGCATTGCATATATGCATGGGGAAGTTTTACACAAAACTTATCGTGCAGGTTCCTATTTGAATCTGGATTCACGCACAAATTCTTACAGCAATGGTAAATGCAAGCACACACAGGCATACAAACCCAATAAGCACAAATCATTTGCATACTACTGAATTATTTATTTGTGAATGAGGTAATGATTGATACAAATATCAAACACACAGAAGCGCATTAAGGAACTTATTCGGTAAAATTGTTTCTATCGTAGTTTATGCGCATGTTTTCTTACCGGATAAGAATTTTATCCGACTTACTTGAGCGCATAATTTTTTTATGCACATTTTTATAATTTATGTGCATCTTGGCGTTTCCATCCAGCGTTTTTTAAATGCAATATCCCAAAATGCGCATAAAAATAGGTGGATGGAAACATAGCATACAGAATAAAATCAGACATGATCAAACGTAAATAGAGAATTCGCTGTGCATTAACGCTTTATTGTGTTGCAGCTGTAGAATTGGCCGTCTGTTCGTGGATCCATTGCAGGTAGTTGGAGACGTGGGTGTAAATGCTGTAGGACCCTGGTAGGGCGCAGCCTTTGCTCCAGCTCATGATGCCCAGCAGTAAGGTGGTGTCCCTGTAGCGGGTCACCAGTGGCCCGCCGCTGTCCCCTTTACACGAGTCCTGCTTCCCCTCGATGTAACCGGCGCAGAACATGTTGCTGGTGAGCGTCACGTTGCTGCTCTCGATGCACTCCTGCGTGCGGATGCGGGGCACCTGCAGGCGGCGCAGTAAGCGTGACGTGGGCCCGTCCTGGCTGCGTTTGCTCCAGCCGCTCACCGTGTGCTTGCTGATGGCCCACAGCTCGCGCTCCGCCGTGGCTCGCAGCGGCAGGCAGACGGGGACGGATAGGTGCTGTAGACGATGGGCCTGCGCAGACGCAGCAGCAAGATGTCGTTGTCTGAGGTCTCGGACACGTAGGCGGGGTGCATTAGCATCAAAACATCGGGGTGCTGATCGACTCATCTACGTTTTGATTATCATTCCAAATCCAATTTATAGTCTTTTCCAGCTTTTTGTTCAAAATGTTGTTTATTTCTTTATTTTTTTTATTTATAAAACTTACCCACATTAAAGTGTTTATAAAAAAGAATGCATGAAGCTAGAATAAAATGCTTGTTTTGTTTCAAAGCAGATACCCTGTTCTTTCTTTTGATGTTTGTATGTTCAGATATTCTGCAGTACAAATTAAAAACATGGATGTAAACTAGTTGTGTACTCAATGTTTACTACTGTTATACTTAAAGTATACTTTTATATACTAGAAAGTGGGCCAATTTAGTCCCAAGGAGTATTGAAATAGTACACTTACAAGTATACTACTAGTACACTGATATTTGTATACTTACTTCATAAAGTATACTTAAAAATACACTTGAAGTGTACTACTTTTTGGTAAATGTTGACAAGTAAATGCATCCTGATTCAAGAATTTTTAGATATTTAAACTAGAAAACAAGACATAAATACTAAGGAAGAAAATATTTTTTGCAGTGTACTGCATATGAAACCCAGCACAATGCCATGTGTGTTTGTCACATGTAATACTGACGGTGGCCTCCGTGTGTTCAAACACCTCCCGCGCCTCCTCATATGAACATTTCTCCTCCAGACACTCCCTCTCCAGATTGTCCATCTTCAGCTCCTCAAACCAGCCCGAGTTTGCCCGCTTAGTCCAGATCAAAACCCCATGAGCCTCATCCTTCCCCACAAACACTGAACAACACAAGACTGCGTTATCACCAACAACACTCTTAGTAGACACACCGCTGGATTTGGTGCTTTAATGTGGATCTGTAGTTGATTTAGTTACCTGTAGCAGAATGACAGCTGTAAAGACCCACGAGGACATAAAACCCTGACAGGAGACTCGTGTTGAACAGCGGTTCAGTGCGTATCTTCTGCTGCAGGTTCAAAGGTCTGAAGTCTAAATACTCTCCACCCCTCACCTCCCTTACTGAACCACAGAGATCCCAGGACACACTACATCATTTAAAAGAGTTTATTTGTGTTTATGTATGTGCATATTCCAGTGACACATAATATAAATTTCATGCTCTGCCATCTTTTAGGATACTCACTTACATGTGTCTTTATGCGTCCTTAAAGGTGAAGTGTGCTTTGCAAACTGAATTGCAAAAATAACCAGATTGTTATTTTAATATTAAGTCCAGCCCAAACTCACATGATTGTTTAGATGTTAACATGTCAGGCCGCTCAAACAGATCAATGTTGCGAAAGTGTCACAGTGTTTTACACTTCAGGAATTAGGGGCCGTTCACACTAAACACGTTTTTCCATTCCACTGCGATACTTTTCCATTGTTTAAAGGGGTCATGACACGAGAAATCTAATTTGCCTTGATCTTTTGGCACATAAGAGGTCCTTGTACCATTAAAACATCCTGCAAGTTTCATAGCTTAATTCATAGCTTGATTTTGTTTTGTAATCGAGGCACAGTGTCATGGAGAGTCACAAAGAATCATTCGTTGAAAGATGAAGCGGAGCTAGATCTGCATCACAAACCGAAGTAAATGATTTCAGAATGCTTTGTCTGGAAATGACCGTTTTATTTTGATCATGTTGTCAAAACACTGGCATGCAATAGCGAGGGGGCATTGATACTGTTTCCTGTGCAGTGACGTTAGCCAGTCACAACAAGCCTTAAAGGACACGCCCCATAAAACAGGTCACTTCAGAGAGAGGGTCAGAATGAGGGTTGAAAATAACCTTTTTCCCACATTTTTTTTGTGCAAAAAAACTTTATTAACATTATAAGTAAAATTCAAGGAGCATATTAAAATTATTGTAAAAATCCATGTCATGACACATGCTATCATCTCTTCGTGTCTTTTGCGGCGTCTTGTCCATGACAGGCTTTTCTAAAAACGCTTAAAAACGAGTCTTGTTGTCCCCACTGCCCACGTATTCTGTGTGAACGGCCCCTTCACTGACTGAAATCTGAACACACTTCACCTTTAACAACATTCATAAACTCTTGAATTCATGCGGCGGCTACAGTCTTCATGATCCACTCCACAAAGACAGACACGCGCGCGTAGATGCCGTAGACGTCAGTGCGTGCGCAGCCTTTGCCCCAACTCACAATCCCTGTCAGAAACCATGTGTTCTTATAGCGGGTGACCAGCGGCCCTCCGCTGTCCCCCTGACAGGAGTCCCGGCCGCCCTCGATGAAGCCGGCACACAGCATGTTCCTGGTCACCTTCAGGCCCGACTTTGCCTTGCACTCGTCTAACGAGACCCTCGGCACCTCCAGCCGCTGAAGAATCGGAGACGACGGACCGGACTGCGACAGATGACCCCACCCGCTGACAGTGGACATGCGAATGGCTCCAATGGTACGTCCGAAGGTGCCGTTAACGGGAGGAAGGCAGACGGGAATAGTGAAGGCGTCTAGCATGACGGGGCTGAGCAGACGCAGCAGGGCGATGTCGCTGTCAGTGCTGGAGTGGTTGTACTGTGGGTGGATGAACACTTTAGACACTTTCCTCGTCTGTTCGGTTCCTTCGTCTTTCCCACGGATGTGTTCACCTGCAGCAGAAGTCAAAATGAGACCGAGATAAGTTACAGAGGTCTACACTTGAGCTGTGGGAGGAGGAACGTCAACAGAACCAGCGTTATATGAACAACTCCTCACCGTTATGACATTCAGAATTTACATAGCAGAGCAAAAGAGTGGAGAACAAAATAAGCAAGGGTGCAACACAGCTACCTGTTGACAGTGTTGCGGAAAGTTACTTTTAAAAGTAATGCATTACAATATTGCGTTACTTCCTTCAAAAATTAACTAATTACGTTACTGTTGATTGAAAGTAATGCGTTACATTACTTTTGCGTTACTTTTTAAATCTGGGCAGGGCTTGCTTGTTTGCTTTTAATATAAAAAAGTTCGATTTTTGGAAAATGTAAAAGCCCTCTCACACCAAAAGCCTCAGGCTGAAGGAAAAGTAAATTCACGTCTGTACAGTAGAACACAGAAGAAGAAAGTTCAACACTCTTCAGCAATAAAAAAAGAAGAAGAAATGTTAGTTTATCTTTTTGCTTATTAGTATGATTGAATTGGATCACCGAAGGTCAGCAGCAAATTGGTTAATAAAATGGGATTAAATACATAAAGGATTTTAGTATTATTTAACATATTTAATTATTGCAGCTTTGAGTCATATTCTGAGTTGCTTTTAACTGTTTTTATAAATTTTGATGAAAACTAAATCTGATTTTTTTTGTGAGTGAGTGAGATTAATGCATGTTCACATTTATTCTACAACTAAAGTAACATCTTACTCCCGATTTCTCTCAACATGGGCACAGGAGAGCTTTCAATCAATAAATGGGAAAAAAAAGTAACTGGCGTTACTTATTTGAAAAAGTAACTAATTTGTAAATTAAAAAGTAATGCGTTACTTTACTAGTTACTTTTAAAACGTAATCTGATTATGTAACTCACATTACTTGTAATGCATTACCCCCAACACTGCCTGTTGAATCCACTGCCGTTTTCAATCCAGAGTTTGTAAATTCTAAATCAGAGTTTGACAAACTTGCAATTGCAGTAACTCCCAGAGACAAACCCAATAATGACGGTAGTTCCCGACCGAGACATTTCTTACCAACTGTTACTTGTAAGATGTTTGGATCCTTTTCCCAAACGCAGTGAGCTGCGGTGAGAATCCATTGGGAATCTAGAATAACGGCACCGCATTTATACTGTTCCTTATGCTGTAGTAAAGCCTGTGGAGGAGACGCACACACACAGAAACATTGACTGAGAAAACACCGAACGAACAGAGAGACCAGATCTGAAGAACAAATGGATCCTGATGAAAGTACGCTCTTCAAAATGAAGGTTCTTTTGTGGAATCTATGGTTTCATGCAGAAAATGTAAAATCTATGGAACCTTCCCATCGGACAAAAAGTTATTTAGATTATTAAAATGTTAAATGCACTAAAAAATTGTGCTTTTAAGGGACAGATCTCTGAAAGGTTCTTTGGGAAACTGAAAATTGTTCTCCTACGGCATCACTGCCAACATTTTGGAAGCTGTGTCCAGAGAAATCAACATGCTGTTCATCTGATGTCCTCATGAATCCTCACCTGCCACGGACACTGTCCTTTAGGACACACGTCGCCCTTCACTATCCTCGGACCCACACCATTCGGCACCAGCCTTCCACACGGGAATCCATCTGAGCACATGATGAGAAACACAACACGAGTTTACATCAACAGCAATATGGCCTTACAGCACAAACACAATGATTTTAGAGTTATCCACCTGAGCATTCCTCTAGCTCAATCAGTAGAACATGGCGCTATCCATGTCAACGTCATGGGTTCGATTCCCAGGGAATGTGTGAACTGATCAAATGTATACCTTCAATGCAGTGTAAGTCGCTTTGGATAAAAGCATCTGCCAAATGCATAAATGTAAACATATCCAGCACACTGATGTGCATTGGAGCTCAAAATATGAATCATTTTCGAGACACTCCTTGTGTCCCTATAATATAGTATGAAAAACTTACTTTTTTAATGGTGGGGTAAGTTCATTAATTCATACTCGGTTAGTGTGATGGAGCAAATTTCAGATGGAGCAAATGTTGGGAATAGCATAGGCCTACTAACATATGACATCTGCGAGTTCTGCAGTTTGCAGCATATTTAATGCTCAGTATTTGAATTTTCTGTATGCATGACCAACTACATGTCAATGTGTGCAATATAGACCCACAGTACAGTGAGTGACACACTGCATCCCACAATGCAATGTGCTTGACTCAAATCTCCATTTCTAATCAGCAGTGATACTTTTTGTCTGAACTTTTTGCAGTGTGACCTAATAAATCAGATGTCATTGGTTTTTCCTGATTTATTAGGTCACACTGCAAAAAGTTCAGACACTTGTGAAGAAAACTAAACATTGCAAATGCTAATTACCATTATTTCTGAGCTGATAACTGGACGCCGCTGTGTGTGTATGTTGTTGTATAATGCAAACTGTTTCACATACTTCTAGTCTAGGCAGTGGACAGTATTTTGAACAGAGCCGATGGCTAAGACGTCTGTGTTTGTGGACTGACCCTGCGGCACGCAGCTGCTGTTGTCTATGTGTAGTGTGTATCCAGGTGCACAATCACAGCGATGGGTCGAATCACTGATTTCTACACAGAAGTGCTCGCAGCCGCCGTTCTTGTACAAACATCCGTAGGAAGTGGGTGGAAATATTTCTGTGGGACGTACGACAGGATTAACATGAGTAGATGCTCATTCTGCAGATCTTTGTGTTGTGATGATTGTGTGTTACCTTTGTCGCAGTGTCGCCCCTCAAAGTTCACTGGACAGATGCAGATGTATGCATTTATCTGATCCACACACGTGGCTCCGTTCTGACACGGTCCCGACTGACAATGATCCACCTCTGAAGAGGCAAACAAGATTTACACAGATGCACAAGATCTGAGGACGCTGTGAATGGAGTTTGTGCAAACTCACTCTCGGTGGCTGTCAGGGCGTTTCTATACAGTCTAAGGAGTTCTGCATGGTTGTTAGCTCGTTGCTATGCAGTTTCAATTAAATTTACTTTAAAATTTATGTGCACACATTTAAAAACCTGTTCAAGAGTTTTTAAAGTATTTTAGCGTCTAACTATTCATGAAATGTAATCTGTTTTTATCAGATGTGTGTAAGCTGCACTTGAAGTTGCTGGTTTACCTGTGTATCTCTTCCAGAAATCTTCCTGAAACACAACAGGAGAGTTCTGTTAGATTTCCTTCAGCTCTTCTGCTATTTCTGTGCTGTTTTTGGTTGTTTTGTCTCAAATTCAAACACAAACTTTCATTAATGTCATGAGTGTCTCACTGTATGACTGACTCTGAATGATTTGAATTGAGACTGACTCTGAATGATCTGATTTGAAACCGACTTTGAATTACCTGAAGTGAGACTGACTATGAATTGAGACACATACCGAATTATCTAAATTAAGACTGACTCTGAATTAAGACTGACTCTGAATGGTCTGAATTGAGACTGACTTTGAATAACCTGAAGTAAGACTGATTCTGAATGATCTGACTCTGAATTAAGACTGAGTCTGAATGGTCTGAATTGAGGTTGACACTGAATTATCAGAATTGAGACTGACTCTAAATTGAGACTGATTCTGAATTATCTGAATTTAGACTGACTCTGAATTATCTGAACTCAGACTGACTCTGAATTATCTGAACTTAGATGGTATTTTCTGAATTGATTCTGAATTATCTGAGTTGATACTGACTCTGAATTATCTGAAATGATTCAGAATGATCTGAATTGAGACTGAATCTGAATTTAGACTGACTCTGAATTGAGACTTACTATGAATTATCTGAACTAAGACTGTATTATCTGAATTGATTCAGAATTTTCTGAATTGAGACTGAATCTGAATTGAGACATACTATGAATTATCTGAACTGAGACTGTATTATCTGAATTGATTCTGAATTATCTGAATTGAGACTGAATCTGAATGGAGACATACTATGAATTATCTGAACTGAGACTGTATTATCTGAATTGATTCTGAATTATCTGAATTGAGACTGAATCTGAATGGAGACATACTATGAATTATCTGAACTGAGACTGTATTATCTGAATTGATTCTGAATTATCTGAATTGAGACTGAATCTGAATGGAGACATACTATGAATTATCTGAACTGAGACTGTATTATCTGAATTGATTCTGAATTATCTGAATTGAGACTGACTCTGAATTTAGATTTACTATGAATTATCAGAATTGAGACTCACTCTGAATTATCTGAACTAAGACTGTATTATCTGAATTGATTCAGAATTTTCAGAATTGAGACTGAATCTGAATTGAGACTTACTATGAATTATCTGAACGGAGACTGTATTATCTGAATTGATTCTGAATTATCTGAATTGAGACTGACTCTGAATTGAAACTTACTATGAATTATCTGAACTGAGACTGTATTATCTGAATTGAGACTGACTCTGAATTGAGACTTACTATGAATTATCAGAATTGAGACTGACTCTGAATTGAGATTTACTATGAATTATCAGAATTGAGACTCACTCTGAATTATCTGAACTAAGACTGAATTTTCTGAATTGAGACTGAATCTGAATTGAGACTTACTATGAATGATCTGAACTGCGACTGTATTATCTGAATTGATTCTGAATTATCTGAATTGAGACTGACTCTGAATTGACACTTACTATGAATTATCAGAATTGAGACTCACTCTGAATTATCTGAACTGAGACTATTATCTGAATTGATTCTGAATAATCTGAATTGAGGCTGACTCTGAATGGTTAGAATTGAGACTGACTTTGAATTACCTGAATTAAGACTGACTCTGAATTAAGATTGACTCTGAATGATCAGAACTGAGACTGACTCTGAATTAAGACTGATTCTGAATTATCAGAATTGAAACTGACTCTGAATTGAGACTGACTCGGAATGGTCTGAATTGAGACTGATTCTGAATTATCTGATTTGAGACTGACTCTGAATTATCTGATTTGAAACCGACTTTGAATTACCTGAAGTGAGACTGACTATGAATTGAGACACATTCCGAATTATCTAAATTAACACTGACTCTGAATTAAGACTGGGTCTGAATGGTCTGAATTGAGATTGACACTGAATTATCAGAATTGAGACTGACTCTAAATTGAGACTGATTCTGAATTATCTGAATTTAGACTGACTCTGAATTATCTGAACTCAGAGTGACTCTGAATTATCTGAACTTAGACGGTATTTTCTGAATTGATTCTGAATGATCTGAGTTGATACTGACTCTGAATTATCTGAATTGATTCAGAATTATCTGAATTGAGACTGAATCTGAATTGAGACTGACTCTGAATTGAGACTTACTATGAATTATCTGAACTAAGACTGTATTATCTGAATTGATTCAGAATTTTCTGGATTGAGACTGAATCTGAATTGAGACTTACTATGAATTATCTGAACTGAGACTGTATTATCTGAATTGATTCTGAATGATCTGAATTGAGACTGACTCTGAATTGAGACTTACTGTGAATTATCTGAACTGAGACTGTATTATCTGAATTGATTCTGAATTATCTGAATTGAGACTGACTCTGAATTGAGACTTACTATGAATTATCAGAATTGAGTCTCACTCTGAATTATCTGAACTGAGACTATTATCTGAATTGATTCTGAATAATCTGAATTGAGGCTGACTCTGAATGGTTAGAATTGAGACTGACTTTGAATTACCTGAATTAAGACTGACTCTGAATTAAGATTGATTCTGAATGATCAGAATTGAGACTGACTCTGATTGGTTTGAATTGAGACTGATTCTGAATGATCAGAATTGAGACTGACTCTGATTTATCTGAACTGAGACTGTATTATCTGAATTTATTATGAATAATCTGAATTGAGACTGACTCTGAATGGTCTGAATTGAGACTGACTTTGAATTGAGACTGATTCTGAATTATCAGAATTGGGACTCACTCTGAATGATCTGAACTGATTTTGAATTATCTGAATTAAGAGTGACTCTGAATCAAGCACTACGTCAGTCTGAGCAGATCTTTCTAATGGTCTTGTTCTCCTCACCAGTTGTTCGGGGACGGTGAAGATCTCTCTGGCCTCCTCATAAGAGCAGATCTCCTCAAGACACTCTCTCTCCAGATTGCCCAGCTTCAGCTCCTCCAGGAAGGAGTTTGCCCGTCGGACACGATGCGTTAATGCCCGGTTTGCCTCAGTCTTACTGAGGAAGACTGCAGATGATGAAGAGACCAAGAGTACATATCAGGCAGACAGTGAGTGAGTCTGAATACCATTATAGTCTCTGCTTTAACATGTAAACATGGATGAGAAACACACAAACACATGACACACAGCTAATCTCACAAACACAGTTTTTAAGATCTCCACTCTCACCTGATGGAAGCCCAAAGCACACTGGGACGGCGAGCAGCGTCAGGATCATGTGGCAGAGCTTCATTCTGTTCAGGTTGGACTCCATGATGTTTTAGCTTCAGGCTCGAAGTCCGTAACTCATTGGCTGTGGTCTGGACACACGGTGGGCAAACGGACAACAGATTGCACAATACTGTGTGACTGAAGGGGCTCTTTAAATCACCAGCAGATGGAGCCACTGATACAGAAACTGAGGAACAGCCATTCTTCACTTCATTCATGCCATGGTGAGATTTCACACAAGGGCTGATATTATCTCAACAAATTAGGTGGTGGCATGAGATCAAACTAGACACAAATATTCAGCTGTTACTTTTAAGTTGGTGCTTAAAACAAAAAGAAATGCCTGTCAGTATTTTAATGTATTTCTTCTTGACAAAGATCTGCTGTTAATTCAGCACAAACTGCTTCAACATTGACTCAATTCATACTTCGTACAGTAGATCATCATTTCAGTTGATTTTGTTATTTTAGTTTCTTGGGTGCGTTTGATTTGGGATTTTAGAAACAGTATACCTTTTAAGAAATTTAAAGAAATCATGCAAAAATGATAATTCTGTCATCATTTACTCCCCAGGGTTTCTGCAGGTCTTAAAAAGTCTTCATTCGTCCACAGATTAAGTTGTAATCAAAAAAATTATTATTATTTTCACGATGTATCAAAGATACATTACTGGAGATGCAAAATGAGAATATGAAGTCTTGTTTTCTTAGAAATTAATTAAAATTAAATTAGCTTAAAACAAGATCATTCTTTTGATCATGATCTCACTTCGTTTTGATGAATTTCTCTAAAACAAGACTTTATATCTTCTATGATTTTGCATCTCAAGTAAATGTATCTTGATTTAAACATTTTTAGATGTTTGCACTGGAACACAAGACAGAAACACTGAGGAAGAATCAGAAGCTTCAGTAAAAGGTAAAAGATATTTTTGTTTTTTTTTTGGAAATTAATTCAAAATTAATAGAGATCTGTTGGAAGCTGTATCTTCAAAAGTGAAAAGTGTTGCATTGTGTTCTCTCTTAATTACATTTAGAGGACATATTGTGTTCCATTCAATTTATTCCTTTTTTATGACTTGGTCTTAAATTTAAGACCTTAACGTTTTTAATTTAAAAACTTAAATCCTAAATTTACCTTCACAAAACCTGGAGAAACCCTGCTCCAAATGTTGCTCCAAACCTTTGACTTTTTCTTCATATTTGAATTTTTTTTGGTTTTTTTTCCCATTCATTCCAAACAATGAATGTCAGTGGGGTCCAGTGTTGTTTGGTTTCCAATGTTTCACTAAATATCTTGTGTTTCTGCAGAAGACAGAAAGTCATACAGGAGAAACATGAGAGTGAGTAAATGATGACAGAACGATCATTTCCAGGTGAACTCTTCCTTTAAGTATAAAGTTTCCTTTGACTTTAATGGTTGAACATTCAAACAGTGTTCCCCGTCTGACAGCACAGTAGCGTTTGCATAATGAATCATCTATATCACATACTCTGTTCGGGGTTTACAGCTTCTCTAACTTTCATTTACATAAAACTATAAGAAGCCCTGTGGTTTCCGTCTTGAAATCAGCTCGGGTTTAAACTCTAGTTCAGATCTACATGTGATGAGCTGCTTTACATGCTTCTGGGGCGTCTGAACTTTAGCTTCTCGTCTCGTTTGTTGAGACCACAGAGAGATGCGTGGTTTAAACAGAAATCAGATGCTGATCCACACAACACTCACAGTTCAGCTCACATTCAGAGCTGCTGCAAACACACAGCAACAATAAGACACGGAGAACCATACTCACGGATTCATCTGATTTATATTTGAAAAAATGAGAAGTATAAATATACATTAAAATACTGACATGTTCACAACGGGCCTGGAGTGAGCGAACGAGAGATAAACTCAACCCAGATCTTCAACAAAAACTACCATATCACAAAACGAGCGAATAATCTGAAGTACTACATAAACAGAAGATCATTTAACACACACACACACGCACACACACACACTCACACACACACACACACACTCACACTCACACTCACACACACACACACACACTCACACTCACACTCACACACACACACACACACTCACACTCACACTCACACACACACACACACACTCACACTCACACTCACACACACACACACACACTCACACTCACACTCACACACACACACACACACTCACACTCACACTCACACACACACACACACACTCACACTCACACTCACACACACACACACACACTCACACTCACACTCACACACACACACACACACTCACACTCACACTCACACACACACACACACACTCACACTCACACTCACACACACACACACACACTCACACTCACACTCACACACACACACACACACACACACACACAGACAGTTTGAGTTTGTGTGTCAAACTCTGAAATGAGTGTCCTTGAGCGTTTAGTGTGCACAGATATAATTCACATTCAGCATGTTCTCACTCAGACTGACGTGTTTTAAGTCTCAAACACACTAATGAGTATCTTTAAAGCATCAGCTATCTGATTATCATTTACTCAATCTATAACAGGCGCAGTTCTAATGGCAGAATTATGCAAGTAGGTCACAATGTGAAAGCAGAGATGCAGGTATAGAGACGAGAGGAACGTCTTCCACAGCGCAGGCTGGAAACCACATCTGTGGGCACCGTTTCCTGTGGCAGCAGCACATGCTTGAGTGTGTGTGTGCGTGTGTGTGTGTGTGTGTGTGAGTGTGTGATCATCTGAACGAGTCATTCAGAAACGCACCTCCACAGTTGGTGTTGGTCAGGATCCCCTCCGTCACGTCATTATGAAAGCTGTAGGCCAGGAGAGATGAGGCTGCTGAGAGCTCCTGAACACAAACACACAGTCAGAGGAGCATCATGGGTAGTTTAGTTTCTGATCGTATGGGGTTTTCTAACCTTTTGTGTAGCAGGCGAGTCCCAGAGACTCCACAATGCTGATTTATGCATCATCTGAAAGCTGGATAAATCAGCTTTCCATTGATGTATGGTTTGTTAGGATAGAACAATATTTGAAAATCTGGAATCTGAGGGTGCAAAAAAATCTAAATATTGAGAAAATCATCTTTAAAGTTGTTCAAATGAAGTTCTTAGCAATGCATATTACTAATCAAAAATTAAGTTTTAATATATTTACGGTAGGAAGTTTACAAAATATCTTCATGGAACATGATCTTTACTTAATATCCTAATGATTTTTGGCATAAAAGAAAAATGTATAATTTTGACCCATACAATGTATTGTTGGCTATTGCTACAAATATACCCCAGCGACTTAACACTGCTTTTGTGCTCCAGGCTCACATATTATAAACAAGTGTTTAGTGTAAAAATAGTGAATCTTATTTTAAGAGCATTTTTGTTTTTGCATTGTGACATTATTTCCATGACAATTAAACACATTTAACATGAAAATTGCCATGAATGTAATGCAAAAAAATCTAATATTTATTTTAATAAAACTTTATTCTTTCATGTTTTGAGTATTAATGATGTTATCTATGCCATGTTTTTTTATTGTGCTGTAATTTTATTTGTTCAACATTTATGCTAATGTATTATATAAATATATTTTACTTACTAAATGTAATATAAAAAAATGCATATATTGTATTTTATATATACACTGCCGTTCAAAAGTTTGGGATCAGTAAGATTTTTAATGTTTTTAAAGAAGATTCTTCTGCTCATCAAGGCTGCATTTATTTGATTAAAAATACAGAAAAAAAAAACAGAAAAATTGTGAATTATTATTGCAATTTAAAATAACTGTTATCTATTGATTCTGTTATCTTAAATCAAGTTGCATTTACTAGAGAAGCGAAATGAGTAAGATATTTAGTCTTGTTTCCAGGGGAAGAAATTTAATTAAGTGCTTTGTGCTTAAAACAAGTAAAATGATCTGACAGTGAGGGAAGGAAATTACTCTTAAACAAGATTATTTTTCTCACTGGCAGATATTTTTCTTTAAGCACAATGCACTTCATTTAGTTGTTTCCGCAGACAAACAAGACTAAATATATTCAGTTGTTTTACTTGTACAGTAAATGCATCCTGATTCAAGAATTTTTAGATATTTATACTAGAAATCAAGAAAGTATTTTTTGCAGTATAGTGTTAAATGCTGCATTTCAGTGTTATTCATACGAAGAGTTCAAATGTTCAAAAATCATGATTTTTTTTATCCTGAATTCCAATTAATCTCAATCAAACTGCATTTGGGTTGTTTTGATTAAATAGCTAAAAAAATACAGCTAATTAACACAACAAAAAAAACACAATACACGATAACACAATAACAAAAACATGATTTTTGAAAATTAAAAATTAATATAATAAAATATTATTATTATTCATATTTAATAAAATAAGTGATCTGTTTTTACAAATAAACTTCATATACTTTTACTGTTTTTATTAATATGTTGAATTAGCTTTTATTTTTCAGTTTTTATTTTAATTTTAGTTTAAGTTTGAGTTATTTTGTTGTGCTTCTGCCATTTTTTATTAATTTTAGTTTTTCTTTTATATTTCTATTTAGTTTTCATCAAATTTAATGTCAGTTTTATTCATTTTGTTATGTGTTTTGTCATCTTTATTAGTTTTTAATATTTTTTTCCGTTTTCAATACATTATATGCCAGTTTTAGTCATTTTTTATGTGCTTTTGACATTTTTGATGAGTTTTTTATAAATATTTCTATTTAGTTTTCATCTAATTTTATGTCAGTTTTAGTCATTTTGTTATGTGCTTTTGTTATTTCTATTAGGTTTTTTATATTTTTATTTATTTTTCCATTACTTTTTTCTTCATTGTAAGAAGACTTCATTTGCAAAAACATAGCTCTATTTTTAACAATTTTCAAAACTCATGTTTTTTCATTCTGCGTTCCAATTAATCTCAATCAAGCTGCAGTTGTGTTATTTTGATTGGGTTACAAAATAACTTAAAACTACAGCTAACTAATACAATAAAACACAATAAAAACGTGATAACAATAAAAAACATGATTTTTGAAAATGAAAAAAAAAAAGTTATGTTTTTGCAAATAAACTCTTCATATA